AGAGCAGCGAGCTGTGCACTGACCCCTGGCCAAGGCCTTTTCTTTTTTTTTTCCCATTGCGGGATGGGGAGTCTTCCTTGGGGGCTGGGGGATGGTATCTGTGGTATCTCCAAATCAGGCTGGAGCCCAGGGACTAGGGATGCAGGTTTGAAGGAATGATCTGGGTTTGTAGATGTTTCTGTCTCTCCTTTGTGGCACCACGTGTGTCCCCTGGAGCCTGGGGCAGGAAGCTGGGAAGCCCCAGGTTTCCTAATTCTGCATTCCTGAAGACTTCAGGGCCCTCTTCCTTAACCCCTGCCCACCTCCTACAACTCTGCACTGTGACTCTCCAGTCCTCAGCCTGTAGGGAGACCAGGCTTCTGTCCCAGACACCCCTCTCTGGATAAAGTCAGGGACTGTGGTGTGAACAGTTCATCCAGCATGGGGTGGGGGCAGTTTGAGAGGCCACAGGCTCTCTTTGTTTGCAAAGTTCTCTCCCATTCCTCTCCTACCTCCAGTCTGCGTTCTCTTCCTAAGAAAATAAAGGGCCTCTTCCTATTTCAGTCTCACTGTCTCACAGAAACACTGCAGGAGACTTTGGGATGAATTGGGTTTTATTTGAAGTTTTTATAATTTCAGCTTTATCTTTCCACATTGCCTACTTCTCCATTCCCTGACCCCTTCCTCTTTTTGCCCCCTCAATGTCACGTTCATTCTCCTCACCCTCTCCTTCTGTGGCCCCATTCCTTCCCTTCCCACATTTTCCCAACCCCCTTAACCCAGCTCTCCGTTCTCCCTGCTCCTGCCTCCCTTGCTTTCCTTTGGCTCCTTCTGCGTTGAATGTTCTCCTCCCCTCCTCCGCCCTTTCCCTCACTCCCTGGCCCTATCCACACTTTTGGATCAACAGTTTCCGATGGAGATCAGGAGATGTGCCCATTCTCTGCACAGCAGCCAGTGGGGGCTTTGGGAAATATAAATTGTACCGAAACAAATGAACGTCTGGACAATTTGAGCCTCAGGGACAGAAGAGAAAAAAGGTGTATTGGGGGAGGGGGTGTATTCTCTTAAACGGCTAATAAATACATTCCAATGGCTTTATTATTATGCTTATGGATGGCAATCACTCCGGAGCGCCATCTTTTGAAAGGCAATCAGCTTTAAGAATGATTGAGTTTCACCTTGGTAGCAACACGTCACTAGACTCAGCTGGTTCCCAGGTGAGAAACTGGCACAGCAGATGAGTTATTTTCTCCAAGGCCGTGCTCCCAAGCTCTGGCCGCAAAAGGATCCTTACCCACTTTCGTCATTTCTTCCTCGGTTCAATTAGGTGAAGGGTTTATCCTCTTGGTGAATGAATGGCTTGATGATCCTTTCATAATGTTGAGACATTTACTGTTTTACTTCTGTTTAAGATTATTTCTGTTGTATTCTGTTCAGGAATTTCAAAGGGAATAATCCCCTTCTGAAATTCATGGCTGATCTAAGGAGGCATATAAAAAGCCATTAAAAGCATAAAGTGGTTCAACATCACCTGAAAACCTTGTTTCCTTAAAAAAATAATTTAAAAAATGAAAAAGAAATCTTTATAGCTCTCAACTCAAAAGGTCAAAAGATTATATTTTCATTTTTGTTCTTTTCATATTGCTTGGAAGAGAGACAGTTTTAAATGCCTTATAAAATAGCTTGCATTATGAAAGATTATCAGTTAATTTATAAACTTGCTTTGTTTCTAATGGATCATTTGGAAACCTGGGGAAAGTATCTGTTAAATTTTCATGTCTACAAATCCTCTGCTAATTCAATTAGAAAGGTTTCTGAGCAGTAAATTCAAGGTATGTGATAAGGTTACCTTCATGTTTTATACCAGGAAAAATAAAATAAAATAAAATCACTGTGCAAAATGAAATCTCAGAGCCATATAGTTGCAGTAAAAAAAAAAAAGTAATGAAAATGGTATACACATATAATGGAATATTATTCAGCCTTAAAAGAGAAGGAAAGCCTGTCATATGCTACAACATGGATGAACCTTGAGGACATAACACTAAATGAAATAATCTAGTTACAAAAAAGACAAATACTGCATGCTTCCACTTATATGAGGTATCTAAAGTGGTCAAACTCTTGGACAAAGAAAGTGGAATAGTAATTGCCAAGGCTGGGGTGAGGGGAATAAAGAATTATTCACTGGGCTTCAATTTTGTGAGACAAAAAAGTTCTAGGGGACTTCCCTGGTGGCGCAGCGGCTGAGAATCCGCCTGCCAATGCAGGGGACACGAGTTCAATCCTTGGTCCGGGAAGATCCCATATGCCATGGAGCAACTAAGCCTGTGCGCCACAACTACTGAGCCTGAGCTCTAGAGCCCGAGAGCTACAACTACTGAGCCCACAAGCTATAACTACTTAAGCCCACATGCCTAGAGCCCGTGCTCCACAACAAGAGAACCCACCGCAATGAGAAGACTGCGCACTGCAACGAAGAGTAGCCCCAGCTCGCCACAACTAGAGAAAGCCTGTGAGCAGCAACGAAGACCCAATGCAGCCAAAAAAAAAAAGAAAAAAAAGCCCTAGGAATCTGGTGCCCAACAAGATACACATAACAAACACATAGTTAACTCTACTGCGCTGTCCCCCTCAACGTGGTTAAGATGGTAAATGTTATGTATAAGGTTTATGGGAAAAACACAATAAAAACAAGTAGTGAAAGTTGAACTTGTAAATCCAATGTTAGATATTTGAAGGGACAAAAATTAGCCAGGTATTGAAGAGAGAGACATGGCTAAGTGACAATAATGAAGTCAGATAAGGGTTTCCCTGGCAGGATTTCCGTTACTCTTAATACCGAAGCTACATGTCCTTCACTCTGAGAGCCAATTAAGCTGTGGAGAAACGTGTCCTTATGAGTTAAGGGTAGAGCTTGAGCACTGACTCTGAATTACTTGTTTTTGAAGATTTCAGATAGGTCTCTATTGCCATTTCAATGTCTTTGCCTTTAAAAGTGGAACATGATAATATTAAAATTTCATTGCTCTGTGGCAACATCTAAAATTTCTACTGTCCCCAAAACAACTTAGTAACAAGAGAGACTCCCACTCTGACCAGTTCAGAGGTCACCCGAAGCTATTCCTTAGACAGGGTCATTTTTAGAGTAACATAGCAGGGCGTCAGTTATGGGACCTATCCCCAAACCTTTCTCTCCAACTATCATTGACCTTGAAATTCTACCATTTGAGAGTCATTCCTTTGCGTTAAACATTGTCCTACCCACTAAGATCTCTTTTCAAACTCAGGGAAGGAGTAGGGCATTGACCCTATCACTTTACTTCTGTGGATCTTAACCTTTTTCTTTTGTTTGTTTTGGTCACAACTTTGAGTATTTATGCGACATTTTCTCAGAAAAACGCACTCATGCACAAACCAAAAAAATTTCTTACAAGTTCTGATGGTTCACAGGAACACACCACCCTTACCGCCCACCAAAGTTGTTCCTGGCTGGGTGACTCTGTAAGCACCTTGGGCAGGGAGGTTCGGGGTGATTGAGTGGAGCTAGTTGAGAAGGAGAATAGAAGAGGAAAAGGTGAGTGGAGAGTGTGGGGGGCCCAGGGAGCTAATTTGTATTTTCAAATTTGCCTGTAGCAATAACAATTAGGTAGCTTTTAAGTGTTCACTCTGTGCTAGAAATTTAATAAACACTAAATGAGATAATGCAGGTAAATAAAGCGTTTAGTCATTATTCTTTTCTCATTTCATGGTTGCAATGACACCATGGGGGATTATTAGCCCATTTTACACATACGGAAGCTGAGGTTCAGGGAGGTGAAGTAACCTTGCTCAAGGTAACTTGCTCAGGGTGACCTGAGCCCAGAGAGTGTGGCTCTCCTCGTTGACCTGGGCACGTGTCATCACCACCCCCTTTCCCATGGCCTCCTCCAACTCTCCTGCAGCCTCCTGGTTTCCTTCTGTGCTGAGAATCCTTGCCCTGCTGGCTCAGGTCTTCCCCTACGCATTGTTGGGGTGACTGGGTGTGCCTGTCAGCCCTGTGGGGATATCTCTGTTGCCCTTCTATCCATCAGTGAGCAACTTCCTCTGTAGCCTGTTGTGCCTATTTTGGAGATGGTGGCCTGTCCCCGCTGTTCTCTTCCAGCCTGCTCCCTTTGCTGGTCACCCTTAACACAGATAGGAATTTTAGAGATAAGAAGTATGGATGGTCAGTGGAAGAATTGCTCTTTGTGTGTAGGATGATGGTACCATACTGACCCTGCCGGTGTCTTTGGGTGACTGTTTACAACGCCTCATATTCATACATTTGGGTATTGACTCATTCATTCCTTCAATTTTTTTTTTTTTTTTAAGCAACTGCTATATGCCAGACTCCGTGCCCAGCACTGGGCACTGTCCTTGTCCCAAAGGTCCTTTGAATGACCAGGAGACAAAACAGCAGTAAAAGTCTATCCAGGGTTGGGGGCAGGGAGCACAAAGGTGGTGGACTGTATCTGGTAGAGTCAAGTAACTTCAAAGAGAGGCTGACCTTGACATTCATTTTGGAAGCTAGGTAAGCTTCACCAGATGCACTGGGTGAGGGCGGCAGTGTGAAATAAATCATGAAGGCAGAAGGCAAGGACGTGAGTTGGACTCCATGAACTTGAACGCAGCAATATTTTCCATCTTTACTTGCACTCTCCTCTATCTGAAACTCAGCTTCCACTTCAATAACAAATCGCAGTAGCATTAACAGCCTCTGAGACTCGGTCACCCACAGATATCGTGGTTCTTTGGCATCACAAGAAAATCGTGGCAGATACCTCAAATATTGTTACAAAAACAAAGTATGTCTGTTATTAGACCCACTGCTATAACTTGCAATACAACACGTTAATTAAAACCACATATATTGCTATACACAGATGTCTTTTTCTTTTTTTTTTTTTGGCGGTACACGGGCCTCTCACTGTTGTGGCCTCTCCCGTTGAGGAGCACAGGCTCCGGACACACAGGCTCAGCGGCTATGGCTCATGGGCCCAGCCGCTCCGCGGCATGTGGGATCTTCTCGGACCGGGGCACGAACCCGTGTCCCCTGCATCGGCAGGCGGACTCTCAACCACTGCGCCCCCAGGGAAGCCCCTACACAGATGTCATTTTTAAGAACTATTTTGACAATCGTGTTTTGATATAATTGGTTGCCTTTGGAACACGGCACATTTTATTTCAGGCATTTAAAAACATTTTACTAAGATGAAGTCCACAGGCCTCACCAGACAGCTAGAGGAGTGTGTGAAACAAAAAGCAGTTGAAGCACTCTGCCTGGAAGGGCTTCAGCCAGGCAAGTGTCCTGATCACTGCAGCATTTTCAAGAGCTCACCCAGGCATCTGTGCCCTTTAGGAGGCAATGGCACCAGTGCATACGTGAGACTGTGGGCCCCAGAAGGAAGGTAGGAACAGGGGCAGTGGGAGGCAGGGATGCTTCAGGAGATGCTAAGAAGCTCTGGGGTCTCATCACTGTTTTCGGAGCTCCCCTACTTTACGCTGCTGTAGGCGAGACCTGCAGCACCCCGGAGTTTGGCACCCAGGATACTCTGCCTCTCATCCCCCACTGCCTGAGTCCTTGGCTTGCATGGGAGCCTCTCCCCTAGCCTGCCTCCCCAACGTCCCTCACCCCTGGCTGCTCTAAGTAACCCCAGAAGGCTTCGCTCAAAACCACTGTGTCATGCCCACGACAGCCCCATCCGGTCCCAACGTGGCTGCCCCCGAGAGAGACATAAAGATCCCAGTGACAACCGGCCACTTGTCCACCAGATGGGAGAGGGGCCTGAGGATTGGTGGAGAAGGGGGCGGGGCAGGGAGGAGGATGAGGAGGATGCCAAGGGGAAGGAGGAACCAGGATTCCTGGAATTTCTGCCTCCTGAGCCAGTGCCAAGAGCGAGCCGGGCAATAAGCAGAACTCGGGCGCACACCGGACTTCAGCCTTGGAGTCCTGAGATGTGTTTCCGGGCGATGGCTCACCAGGCGCTGGAGCCCGAACCTTATTACGGGACCTGCAACACGTAAGCAACTATTCATTTAATATTGTAAGAGACCGGAATCCCTGTCCTGGTCATAAAACACCCCAGTCCTCACACCAGCCACCGAAATCTTCCTATTCTTGTGTCAGCGACCCAAGCTGGCATGGTCTGGAAAAGCCATTGATTGGGACCTTACTTAAGGTGAACATATTGGGGTGAACAATCTAGCCCCTCTCCTCTTACCACCTTACTGTCAGGGCAAGGAGGGGACTAGTCTAAGTGATGTCATGATGTGAGTCACAGGCACCGTGTGCTTCTCATGTGCCAGGCTCTGAACTCAGCACTTAAACACGTCACTGCATTTAACCTTTCAAGGACCCTCTAAGGTAAGCCTGGCAATTTTTCCCATTTTACCTGCGAGAAAACTGCTGCTCAGGGAGGGGAAGTAACTTGCCCAGTCCAGTAAGTGGGGAAGCCAGGATTGAGACCCAGGGGCGTCTGATGGCAAAGGCCTCTGAGTACTTAAACAGGGTGGGACCCAAGTGAGCTTAGCTCCTCCAGCATCCAGTCCCATGTACCTCCAAAACCAGGCTTTTCCTGCTGGGCCACAGCAGTGCTGGCTCTGCTGCCTACTTTAAAACTGAAAACCTACAGATATGGCTTTAAAAAAGCTCTTATCTGTTAGAGTTTCATATTGAAGCATCTACAGATGAAATGATATGCTGACTAGTATTTGCTTTAAAATACTTTACTGTAGAGTCAGCAAATTTTTTCTGTCAAAGGCCAGATAGCAAATATTTTAAGCATGTGGCCCTCATGATTTCTGTCACGACTACTCACCCTTGCTGGTATGATGCAAAAGCAGGTATAGACAATACAGAAACGAATGGGCATGGCTGTGTTCCAATAAAACTTTTTTACGAACAGAGGAGGCAAGTTGGATTTGGCCCATCGTTTTGGCCAATCCCAGCTCTAGTGCAAGAAAAGGAGAGGAACAGATAAGTGAAAAAGATTAACAAAATGTTGAAAATTGTTGAAGTTGGTTAAGGGGTACCTGGTGGTTCATTACACTATTTTCTCTATTTTTGAATATTTTGAATATTTCCATAATAAAAAATTCAAGCACCCTGGGGAAAAAAGAAAAAAACAAAAAAACAAAAAACCTGTAAACCTTAGGCACAAGGAAAGCCCATCTGAAATTGTCTTCATTTGTCAGGAGCAGATTCCTATACAGGAAAGCTTCCCTACCAAGGGTTAGGACTATTGGTGCTCAGAGGTAGTGGAGAGAAAAAGGCCCAGGGACCATAGCTGCCCCTTCCTTCACCAGGAAGTCCTTCCCTGATGGACAGGGAGACACTGGGACCACCCCAGCCTTCATCCTATTCTCCCCTCTTCATCTGGTGCCACAGGGCCATGACCCCCTGATGGACTCATGTCCTAGGCAATGACTGTCAGTGGCCGTCAACCTCCCCGGAAGAGAGACAAAGCAGTGCCCCCGTGGGAAGTAGCCAACACCACCCTGAAATAGACTGGTGCCAAACTGAGCTTGAATCTGATCAAGTCTCTAGATACTACTACCATTCCTAGGAAATACAGGGGACAGAGGAACACGTTAAACTACACCACAGGGGTATAATTGACAGAATCCAGGTCAAATGACTTGGTTTCTTTAACAAATAAGTCACAAGAAAAGAAAAGAAAGAAAGAAAAAAGATGGGAGGGAGGAAGATTGAACAGAGACCTATGGATTGCAAGGGACTTTGAAGAGAGCAATCAATTACGTGTATAGACTACATTTGGTTCTTGACTGAAACAGTAATAAACAAAAACAAAACAGCTTAACTATTTGTAACATTTAAGAGACAATTGTAGTACAAACTATTCTGTATAAAATAAGCGGCGAGGGTATATTGTGCAACACAGGGAATATAGCCAAAATTTTATAATAAGTGTAAATGGAGCATAACCTTCAAAATTGTGAGTCACTATACTGTACACCTGTAACCTATATAATATTGTACATCAACTACCATTTAAAAAAATGTTTTTAAAAAGAGACAATTGAAAATGTGAACACCAAATGGACATTTAATGTTTTTAAGGAGTTTTTGTTAATTTCTTGCCTGACCATTGGCTATCTGCTGCCTCTATTTTTTTTATTATGGTAAAATATACATAACATAAAGTTTACCACTTTAACCACTTTTAAGCATACAATTCAGTGGTATTACATACACAGTGTCATGCCACCATCACTGTATTCATTCCCAGATATTCATATTTTTAAGGTATAATATGGCATTGTGGCATAATTTTAAGGTATAATGTGGCATTATGTCTAAAAGACATTTCCTTTTTAGAGATTAAATAAAATGTTCAAAGAATCTTGTCACCTCTCTGCTTTCCTATCGCTAGAGGATAATGTCCTACATTCCTAATGTGGCCTCTGGATCCAGCCCCTACCTGCCCTTCTAGTCACATCTCCCACCACCTTCTCAGGCCACTCTCTCTGCTTCAGCCACATGGTCTTCATGCCAGGACCACATGGTGACTTTCAAGGGCACTTTTGCCTTTGTGAGTTTCCTTCTTTCATAAATTATATTTTACAAATGTATTAATATAAAGACCAATGCATGAATATTATATTTAAAACATTTTCTTCAACCCAAAGTCCATTTTTTTCTTCTGGTTTTAAAAGAAATTAAAATATTTGCATGGGCTCCTTTTAGTGTTGTGGGCCCCTGACACTGTACTGGCGACAGCTAACGGAGAAATCAGCCTGGTCACGAATTCAGTCTCCACCTCCCCTCTCCTCCACCTCCATCCTGGCGAGCCCTGCTCTTCCTTGGAGAAGCCTTCTCTAACTTTCCCAAGTCCCCACGGTGAGCTCGTGGCCCCCTCATGTGCACTCATGCTTCCCTACACCCTGGCTTCATGAGAAGCATCACAGTTGAGAATCATGTATTAATGTGTGTGATCCTTTGCTGTCTCCCCTGCTAGGTTGTCCATCTCTGTAATCCCAGCACCCAGGCCAGTGCCGGGTGCTTAATAATAAATATTTGCTGAAGAAATAAATACATTTGAGGTGGGAAGGGACATCAGTGGTATTCTAAAACATTCAAATAGGAAAAACAAAAATGTCCGGAAAGAAATACACCAAAAGGTTAACAATGTTTATTTTTGTGGGGGAGAGGGTTGGGGGGAGGTAGTAGGAGTTAGAAAGAGTGGTGGGTTTAAGAGTGAGTTTTACAAAGTTGCTAAGAGACTAGATCTTAAATGTCCTCACCACAAAAAAGTAATGATAATTGTGTGATGTGATGGAGGTGTTAGCTGATGCTATGGCGGTCATCATATTGCAATATATAAATGTATCAAATCAACAGGTTGTATACCTTACACTTGCTCAGCGTTATATGACAATTATGTCTCAATAAAAAAAGAGAGTGATTTTTATCTTCTTGGTTATACTTAAGTGCATTTTCAAGTTCTTTCTCAATGACCACCTGTTGCTTGTGTCTTAAAAATATTAAAACCAAACAGCAGAGAAGCATTCTTTCCAGACAAGTACTAAAAGAAAAACTCTACTGCCTACAAACTCCTTGAAGCATGGCTGTGTCTATCTTGTTCTCTGTGGTGTCCCTCGTGATGGGCACATTATACGTGCTCGGTCATTACTGTTGACTGACCAAATGCTGATCCTTGGGGTCTGGATTAGAGATGGGAGCTGGTGACAGCAGGAAGGAGGCTGCTGTTTTGCCCCGATAAGGATGAGATGGGGGTGCTGCACGATCAGCAGAAGGTGGAGAGTACGGGACCTTTCAGAGGTATGATTAGCAGGATACAGAGAGAAAGAATTCATTTTGCGTAGACAACTGGGTGGATTGTGAAGTAGGGATTAAGGCAGAGAGTGCAGCGGAGGGGGAGAGATAATGAGCTCACCTTGGGCTTTTTACATGTAAGATGCTCTTGGTACACCGGGATGAAAAGGCCAGGAGGGCAGTGAGGATGAAGGACTGGGAGCTCAGGACACTGAAGAGCCATACTCGGGGGCCACAGCGCCCAGGTGGCGTTTGTTGGCAGCTGTCTTCTCCCAAGTGGATCAAATTGCCCTGTTCCTGTTCCCAGGCTGGAACACCAAGATGTTGCCAGCTGTGGCTTGCTTCAGAGCTCTTGGAGAGGAAGAGGAAGCTTTGCTGAGACAAGGATGCAAACCGATCCCACGGGGTGAGGCAGAAACTGGGGAGAACTGATCTAGCCTCTGAACTCAGGACTAGAAGCAAAACAGCCATCAGTTACATGTACTGAGTCAGAGTCCAAGTCGAAGTTTAAGAAAACAAGCACATAGGAACATAGAGAGGCAGATATTTCTATTCAGTAACAATCACTGCCTCGGACCAACTGAATCATCCTTCAGCTCATGCCTAGACTGGAACCACTTCTCATTCCTAGTGTGTCCTTGCTCTGAAATGGGCATATGAGTCACTGGGAAAAGAGGATTCGATTAACAAAGATTCAATTTGACTACAGCTGTGGCCAAAAAGTGGGGTGTGCCTGCAGGGCAAGCCTTCCCCTTGGGCAGCCAGGTTGCCATGCACCCTGTTCACGCCTGCTGCCTGTCATTGTGCCCCAGATCTCACCATCAGGGGGTGTACCATTGGGGGAAGGCATGGCAGCCTCCAAGAATCTTATTTCAAAATGTAAATATTCCATCAGGGTAGCACATCCCAGTAGCTAAGAACTTGTTGCAAATTTGCTTTTCAGTTCTCTTTTCTCCTTGAGGGTTTGCTAGGATCAGTGCCCTGAGAGTAGAGAGGAGTTTTAATGAGGGAAGGAAAGGACAGAGGTAGTTGTGTAATTTGGTCGGATGCAGGGGGAGGGAGGGGGCTGGGAGGTGCAGCTTGAAAGCTGTGGGCATGAGGTGGGGGTGGGGTATAGCATGGGAGGGGTCTGCATGAAGTGTAGCTGTTCCAGACGCATGTGGGGACCAGTTGAGCTGATCCTACAAGTAGCTCACATCCTCCGTGTGCTTTGTGAATTGTTCTGAGTGGTCCATGTATGTTCCGTGATTTTTTCCCCAACTGTATAGAAAACGTCTTCTTCCAGGGCCTTTCCTTATATTTCAGTAACCTTTTTTTTTTAAATACATTTATTTATTTTATTGTATTTATTTCTGGCTGGATTGGGTTTTCATTGCTGTGTGCGGGCTTTCTCTAGCTGTGGTGAGTGGGGGCTATTCTTCGTTGCGGTGCTCAGGCTTCTCATTGCGGTGGCTTCTCTTGTTGCGGAGCACGGGCTCTAGGTGCACAGGCTTCAGTAGTTGTGGCTCATGGGCTCAGTAGCTGTGGCTCGTGGGCTCTAGAGTGCAGGCTCAGTAGTTGTGGCGCACGGGGTTAGTTGCTCCACGGCATGTGGGAACTTCCCGGACCAGGAATCGAATCCGTGTCCCCAGCATTGGCAGGCAGATTCTTAACCACTGCACCACCAGGGGAGTCCCTACTTCAGTAAACTTTGAATCTCTTGACATCACACTGGACACACAGTCTCTGCTTTATAAGACATGCTCATTGTTAGCTTGAGGAGAAAAGCCCAGCCAGAAACCAAGAATCCAGCAAGCATAGTGATAACTTCAACAAGTTTTGCACACAACAGCATCTGCAAATAACACAGAGCTCCACAAACAGCTACAGTCTCCACAAACAGCTCTAGGCTCTGCAAACAGCTGTATATTTTAACACAATTAAAAATTTAAATTGTGATTTAAAAATTTAAATACATTTACAGACCAGAGGCTCTGCAAATAGGTGTAGGCTCTGCAAACAGCTATGGGATATGTGAACAGCTATAGGCTTTGCAAAAGGAGGCAAGCTCTGTGAACAACTGCAATCTGCAAGTTCTTGCAGGCTCTGCAAACAGCTACAGGTTCTGCAAACAGTTGGACAATAGGCTAAAAGTATCAACTACAGACCCAAGGCTGAGAACTCTATTAGAGCTTTTGAAACTGGTCACCACTTACCCTTTCCACGAGGAATACATATTAAGATAAAGATAGGAAGGGATGGGAGAAGGGCAAGTAAATTTGATAAATAAAGGTTAGGGGCTCTGGATGGGTTGAAAATGTGTCAAAAATAATTCAACAAACATTGATGGGGGCATTTTGATGTGCTGAGAATGGTGTGAGGGACAATGAGAAGTGTGGGGAACTCTGTGTTCTCACTGATCATGGAAAGTCAAACTCCCCCTGGGGCCTTTCTGATAGCCCTTGGGAATACCTGCACACAGCACAGATTGATTTCCTTCTGAGTCATGATTACTGTGTACCTGGCTAATGCCCCTGTTTATCAACTGGAGCAATAAAAGCATATTACTCTAGTAAGTCTGTGTCTTTATTCCTGTTTCACCCCTAGGTTGAAACTAACATACCATTGTAAAGCAATTATACTCCAATAAAGATGTTAAAAAAAAAAAAAAAAAAGCATATTACAATCCACTTGAATACTGCATCCAAAGGAGGTTGACACCCCTGCTGATGGCTGATGGCATCAGGGCTGGGACAGTCTTGTCTGTGGGGACACAGGTACTCTAAGGGCAAAGAGTAGACCAGGACTGGGGGCAGGACTCCGTGCATGACACCACCCCAATACATGATCCCCACGTGTTCCTATGTGACCCTAAGGGTCAGAGAAGCATGGGAATGAGGCCGAAGTGTTTGCTTGATTAAAGCAGGCTTGTGGCAGGAGATGACGGGCCCGGGACATAGACACACCAGCTGATGGCTTGGGAGAAAGATGGCAGTTGAGGTAAGAGGAAAGGAGCAGTCCTGGGGGCGAATGCACAGACACTTTCTGGCTGTATGGCCTTGGGAAGATGACTTAACCTTTCTGAGTTTCAGTTTCATATTCTATGGAAAGTGGGGATAGTAATAGGACCTACCTCATAGTGTTATGATAAGGATTAGATGAGCTCAGATAAATAAAGTGCTCAGAACAGCGATGGTGTATGCTGAGCTCCATCTAGGACAGTTAAGTGACAAAGGAAATGACAGTGATGGTGATGGTGATGGTGATGGTGGTGGTGATGGTGGTGAAGATGTTGGTGCAGATGATGGTAGTGGTGGTGGTGATGCCACTGCTGATGGTGATGGAGATCGTAATAGTTTCCAAGAGCTGCTTTAACAAAGTACCACAACTGGGTGACTTAAACAACAGAAATTTATTGTCTCACTGTTCTTTTTTTTTTTTTTTTGGCTGTGCTGCATGGCTTGTGGGATCTTAGTTCCCCGACCAGGGATTGAACCTGTGCCCGCTGCAGTGGAAGCGCAGAGTCCTAACCACTGAACCACCAGGGAATTCCCTGTCTCACTGTTCTTTATTGTCTCATAGTACCTGTAAGTCTGAGGTCAAGGTGTTGGCAAGATTAGTTCCTTCTGAGAGTGTGAGGGAGAATCTGCCTCTCTCTTAGGTTGGATGCAAGCTTTGACATTCTTTGGCTTGTAGATCCATTATCCCAAGCTCTACTTTCACATGGTGTTCTCCCAGTCTGTGTGTCTCTGTCCAAATTCCCCCTTTTTATAAGGACACCAGTCATATTGGATTAGGACCCATCTTTTTTTTTTTTTTTTGCGGTACAGAGGCCTCTCACTGTTGTGGCCTCTCCCGTTGCGGAGCACAGGCTCCGGACACGCAGGCTCAGCGGCCATGGCTCACGGGCCCAGCTGCTCCGCGGCATGTGGGATCTTCCCGGACCAGGGCACGAACCTGCGTCCCCTGCATCGGCAGGCGGACTCTCAACCACTGCACCACCAGGGAAGCCCTAGGTCCCATCTTAATGATCTCATCTTCTTTGATCATCTGTAAAGAGGCTATTTCCAAATAAGGTCACATTCTGGGTACTAGGAGTTAAGACTTCAACATTTTTGGAGAGACACAACCCATAACAGTGATAATGATGATGGAGATGGTGTCCTTCCTTTCTCTTGCCTCTCTATGCCTGATTGAACAGTATAAAGAAATTCCTGTTCATTGCCTGGTGTCAGACCTTGCCCGTTTTAGGCCCATAGTGAATACCTACAGCATGGAATTGCAGTCAACCCCACGCTGCCATGACCTTGCTGGGTGACTTTAAGTTGGAGGTTCCCTACTCTCTGTTCTGAGTCCCCTCTCCGATCCAAGACAGAGGACCACACGGGGTGGGAAAACTCAGCCAGGGAAACAGGATGCAAGTTGTTTCAGCCAGCATCACTATATTGATATTCCCAAGGTTTGAGCAAGCCAGGCATGAGGCTGTGTTGTTTTATAAGTGTCTGTATAAACAGATGGCAGGGAAACACTCAGTTGTGACAGGAAGGGAGGATAAGTCATGAAGAGTCACAAACACTCTGGCACAGTCTTCATCCCAGCTGAGCCCGGGCTTGGTGTTTGCTCAGATGTGACCCTTCCCTGGCCACAGCACGGATTGCATCACCTGTTGCCCTGGGGAAGAAGGGGTTAATCTGGGGGGATGGAAAATAAATAAGCACACACTCCATGGCAGCACTGCCACCCCCTCCCCCCACAAACACACACATTGCATACCCTCCGGGAATAATCCCACATTCGAACACCTCATATAACAGCAGTCCCCCCTTACCTTCTGTGTCGTTTGCAAAGCACTCGGGTACACTTCTTTTTTAAAAATTTTAAATACTTCATTTTGAGATCATTTCAACTTTAAAGAAACACTGCAAGAACAGTACTAAGAACCCCCCTGTCTCTTTCACCCAGATTGTTTAACATTTCTCCACATTTGCTTTGTCACCTTCTCTCTTTTAATATACACCCATTCATCTTTTTCTGAATTTCAGAGCAAGTTGCAGAAATGATTGCCCGAAAATACAAGAATAATCTCCTGGATGAGTCACTCTAGGGCTCTCCAGTGTAGGGAATTGACATTGGTAAGACCCTACCGTTCAACCCACAGACTCTGTTCAGATGTCCACTGTCCCAATGATGTCTTTTTCCTCTTCTGGTTCAGGATGGAATCCAGGACCATGCAATGCTAAATGTTGTCATGGCTCAGCCATCTTTTTTTTTTTTTTGGCCATAGCGCAGCTTGCGGGATCTTAGTTTCCCGACCAGGGATCAAACCCTGGCCCTCAGCAGTGAAAGCGCAGAGTCCTAACCACTGGACCGCCAAGGAGTTCCCCTCATCCATCTTTTTTAATCTAAGTTTCTTCATCTTTCTCTGACTTTTGCATCCTTAGCAGTCCTAAAGAGTTCAGGTACAAACTTCCAGTTATAAGAGAAATAAGTTCTAGGGACATAATGTACAGCATGGTGACTATAGTTACCAATACCGCATTTTTTTTTTTTTTATTTGTTTTGCGGTACGCGGGCCTCTCACTGTTGTGGCCTCTCCCGTTGCGGAGCACAGGCTCCAGACGCGCAGGTTCAGCGGCCATGGCTCACGGGCCCAGCCGCTCCGTGGCATGTGGGATCTTCTCAGACCGGGGCACGAACCCGCATCCCCTGCATCGGCAGGCGGACTCTCAACCACTGCGCCACCAGGGAAGCCCCACATTGTATTTTTGAAAGTTGCTAAGAAAGTAGATCTTAAGCTTTCATTACAAGAAAAAAATTGTAACTATGTGAGGGGATAGATGTTAACTAAACTTACTGTGGTGATCATTTCATAATATATACATATATCAAGTCATTATGCTGTACACCTTAAATTAATATAACATTATATTTCAACTATATCTCAATAAAACTTGAAAATAAAATAAGATACATTATATCAATTAAAAAAAAAAAAAGAATTCAGGACTTCCCTGGTGGCGCAGCGGTTAAGAATCCGCCTGCCAATGCAGGGGACATGGGTTCGATTCCTGATCCGGGAAAGTCCCACATGCCGTAGAGCAGCTAAGCCCGTGCACCACAACTACTGAGCCTGTGCTCTAGAGCCCGTGAGCCACAACTACTGAAGCCCAGGTGCCTAGAGCCCATGCTCCGCAGCAAGAGAAGCCACCGCAATGAGAAGCCTGCACACCGCAATGAACAGTAGTAGCCCCTGTTTGCTGCAACCAGAGAAAGCCTGCACGCAGCAACAAAAGCCCAATGCAGCCAAAAAATAAAATTAAAAAAAATTAAAAAGAAAAAGAAAAAAAGAAATCAGACTTTGTATTCTGCAGGATGACCTTCAACTTGGGATCATCTGATGTTTTCTTCCGACCAGCCCAGACCATGCAAACATTCTTGACAGGACTACCACAGAAATGGTTCTGTGTCTTCATCATTTGGTCAAGTTGCTGGCCTCCAGGCTCCTACATCACAAAGTCAACATCTCCCCTTTGTAATTAATTTATACTTTGTAGGGAGATATTATGGAATTACGCCAATATCCTGATCCTTACTGACTCTTTCCCCACCAGCTTTAGCATCTGTTGACCACCCTGTCTGAATTAGACACCACTTTGGTGGTTACCAAATGGGAATTTTTCTATATCCAGCATTCCTTCTACCAATTTTTAGTTAGCATTCTACTACAAGGAAAACCTTCCTTTCTCCATTTGTTTGTTGATATCTGCATGGACTCGTTTATTCTTATTTTACTTATTTGGTGGAAATGCATTAATATTATGTTTATTCTGGTTATCAAATTGTCCCAGATTGGGCCAGACAGACCCCTTTCAAGCTGGCTCCTGTGTCCTTTGACATGTCCTCATCATTCTTTGAGCATTTCCTTACTTTCTGGCACAAGAAAATATTCCAGCCTCATCTGTACTTTCCCTGCTCCAGCCCTGGAATCAGCCATTGCCTCAAGGAGCCCCGGTTTCTTTTAGTGAAGGATAGCATTTAGATACTGAGATCTGGGTGCTTACTGGGCTGCTGTTACTGGGGTATCGTTACTTCTCGGCCCCCTGAAAAGACAGAGCTAGGACACGTTTGTATACACTTTTCATTATTTGCAGTGGTTATAAGGTTTTATAAAGTCGCTGCAAACACCAGATTAGCGAACATTGGGCCGCTGAGGGAAAGTGGCAACCAATAGCCTTAACAGAGGGCTAAGAGATCTCCTGGCCCCAACGTAACTGGTTCAAATCCAGGGCAGACAATCTGTGGAAGGAAGCCCCAGCTGTGCAACAATACCCTGCCCAGCCATCAGATGGTGGTGGTGATGAAACTGATGGTGAGGAAGGGGTGCTGGCTGTTTAAGGCCAGGGCTCCAAGCCGGCGGCAAGGCCACTGGGGAAGCCCAGTGAATGGCCTCCGTCAAGGGGAGAGCAGGCCTCGTTCATGGGTCCGGCTTGCGTTCTCTTTTCCATGACTCAGCCACACGAACTCTTACTATTTTCCACTTGCCTGGGCCAGGGGACTTTCAGGGATCAGTGGCTTCATACCCGGGAGGAATCTGAGGTGGAGCGGGAAAGCAGAGGCCTGTGGACTGGCCCTGTCAGGAGATGGCAAAGGGATGGGGGTAGAGAGCCCAGACAGCTGCGTACCCCGAAGAGTCTGACCCCGAAAAGAAAGCAGCCAAACCCCAATTCAGTGGCCAGTCCCAGCTTAACTGACTGAGTAGGACTGCTGGTGGGGAAAGGGGTTCCTTGCTTGGAATGGCTTAGAGCAGGACTCCTGAGATGGGGCCTTGCCAGCCTGACCGGCAGCCCCTTCTTGGCCTCCGAGGACACAGTGGAGGTGGGAGCAACTACCCACAAGTCTCTGTTTCCGTGCTTCTTGCCCCTGAGCCCTCCCTGCCCCCCAACCCCAAGATTTGCTCCTTACCACCACCCCCAGTGCTTAAACATTTACCAAAGCCTAGTCAGGCGGTTTTCCAGGAGCTTTGGCCCCGTCAGGCACTGATGAGCGCTGAGCGTCATTCAGCGGTCCACGGAGCAGAATTGCTGACGCTGACTTCAATGCCCTCTGCCCCCGGCCCCCTACAAAGGCCCCCACTAAGGTCCACACCACTAGACAACCCTTCAGCCTTGGCCTACCTCCCAGACTCCCAAGAGCCATTGCTCTGAGTTACTTTACCACAAAAGCACCAGGTTTGTCCCCAGAATACAAGGGGAATGGGGAGGGGTAGATGGGGGAGGCTGGTGGTTGTTATAGCCACAGCCATTCTGAGTGACAGGTCAGGGAGCTGGAGACCTGGCTTTCACATCCATGTGGCCTTAGACAAGTGCTGTAAACCTCTCTGGGCCCCCACGTCCTCATCTATAAAATGGGAATAACCAGATAGGTAGGTGGATGGATAGGTAGATAGATAGATACTAGAAGTTTTGCAAGCCTCAAGGAAGATCATGAGTACTTTTAAATTGCTGAAAATAGGGACTATCTACAAGCAAATGTTTAACTCTCACCTGGTTTCTTTTATCAGCATTTGTGTAGCTGTGGTGCCAGATGCTGAGGGAACACATGTCCGGCTGTCTTATAAGTCTTATAAGCCAAGAATGTCATAGCTTCGATAGCATTTCTCAATTATTCAGAAGTTTCTGACACTTTCAACACTGATATGTAGTATTGAGAGCTGCCAACGTTTTGTTAAAAGGGCATTTCTGCACTTTTTTTATTTAAGTGTTTTTCAGTAAAAAAATATATATCTTAGAAATGTATTATTCAAGATTATATTATAGAGTTCATTTTAATTAAACATAATGTATAAAGACTAACTTTGAGTTTTTCCAATGGAACTGCCACTTACTATCTAAGGAAAAGCATGATTTGTTGGACAACTTCAAAATGACAAGTTATGTCATGTTTAGATTAGGGATTGAATGTATTTAAAAGTGGGTTGATACTATTCTATATGTTAGAACATCAACAACTTCAGGACGTGGTGTGTGGAATTCTTGCACTTTCCATCATGAAAAAGCAACCGGTCCCCTCCCATACCTTTCAAGCCTGGTTTCTACTAGGTGGGAGGAAGGTTTCAGGCTGGTTTTTCTAAGCACGTCTCCACTCTTAACACTATACAGTCTCCATTTCCAATCGAAGCAAAGCCGAATTGGAAGGAATCAGCTTGTTTTCTGGTTTTGTTTTAATATTATTTTGGAAGAACCCAAGACGTCTTGTTGTATTTTAAAATAATTTCAATCAGATGAATGCAAACTGTAACCTGGCGATAATACGTGGAGGCAAATTGCAAGACTCCTTCCTTGTGAAGTTGCTCTGCTTCAGCGTTAGTATTTTTTTCTCTTTCCCCTTACTAACCAACCAGCCATTGTGGATAGACATAAAACGATAAATGACAGCATTGAAAAACTATTTAAAGTTGTTTAATGGTCAAAAAGTACACATCGACTATCATGTGCAGTTGAGTAAGAAGATGTGCCCCAGAGAGACAAGTCACAAGAACTGTTTGCTCACTCAGTAAGCACTCCCTTCACTCTAGCGGGAAGCTTTTTAATTTGTTTTAATTTATTTTTAAGTAGCTAATATGGTTAGGTGGTTTTAAATGCCAAAACTACCACAGCAAAGTGGAATTGCTGGGTTAAATTCAACACGCATTTATAATTTCAATAGCTGTTGCCAGACTGTTTCTCCAAAGGGTTTGTTCCAATTTACTTGCTCAGCAGAAAGATCTGAGTGCTGTTTCTACACATCTTTGCCAACTCAGGGTGCTGACGAATGTTTGATCTTGGCCAATCTGATACGTGGAAGTGGTATGTTAGTGCTAGTTTAAATATGCAATTCTCTTTTTGCAGATGAGGTTGGCATCTTTTCAAATGTTTAAGGGTCATTTGAATTTTTTTTCCCCTGTAGATCGTTGATGTCCTTTGCTCACTTTTTTCTATTGAGGATTGTAAGTTTTTTTTTTTTAATTAATTTATAGGAGCTTCTTGTATATGAAGAAATCAGCTGTATGTTTATGACATTAACCACGAATACTATTCCAAGTTTGTTGTTTGTCCTCCGGGTTTGTTTATGATAGTTAGGCCTTCAGGGTGAGAAGAATGATTATTTAATGTATTAAAATAATAAGAGTTGGAGATGGAATAGACACCATCATTTCCTTTAAAAGTCCCGGGCTAGGAAGATTTTGGGAGACCTTGCACTTTCACAAGCCTTTGGCTGGTATAAGCTGATTTATCCCAACCTCTGCACTGAACCAGAGTGAAGACTGATACCCAGAGACAGAAAGTCCACCCAGGGTTGGTGTAGATCCGGCCCACCCAGCTTCCCGCAGGGGGGGCATTGCTTTCTCTTCTCAAGGAACCCCCAAGTGAGGGGAACTCAAACTGGGCCACATTTCTGCTTACAGCACACTCTCCCCGACTCTGCTGGGAAGGGGAAGAGAGGCTCCCATTGGCTGCAACAGGGAGGCAGATTCTCCGTGGGGAGCTGAGACTGTGCTCAGAGCCTATGCAGGTGAGAGGAGGTCAGCCAGGTGTGGGAGGAGCCTCGGCACCTCCCGGTCCACCATCTTCTCTGGGCCTCGCCCCTCCTGGAGCCCCTCCTGACCTGTCCGAATGCCATTCCTTAGTGCCCAGCACCTTTCCAAGAGCCTTATCCTGAGGATGGGTTCCTTTCATTCATCTCTGCATTTCTAGGAAGCAGTGAACTGCGTTTACCTCAGAGCTCAAGAAGCTCCAGCATCTGCCTTGCTTATGCGGGTCCTCCCCAGGCTGTGATGGACCCCAGCAATGTGCTCCCAGGGTCATATATTTTTGTAAAAATTGCCGTTTTGAATTATTTTTCTAAGAGTGCTCCCTCCCCAACTGGGGCTTTCAGCCCCTCAATCCACTGCCGATCTATAGTTAAGCAGCAATAATGGTGGGATTTCAGGCCAGCTAGAGGGAAAGCCCCGTGTGGGAGGGGATCTTCCTGCCGTCTCTAACTTCACATCAAGCCAGGGAACCGTCTTAGTCACAAGCTCAGCAGAGCAACGTCAGCCTGTTGCCAGCAGCTCCTTACACCGAGCCTGGCCCACAGCAGGACTTTACTGACGGGGTGAATGGATGAGTGAGTGCGTGAGTGACAGCCCCCAACTCCGCCAGGTGTCACAGCAACACTCCACCCGCTGCTTCTCCTCTCTCAGCCCCTCTCCGAGGATGCAGGGTGGAGAGGAGGAGATGCAGCCAGAAGGTGCTGGTTCCTTCCTCCAGGCCCAGCTCAGCAGCCACTTCCCCTTGGCTGCAGGTAGAGGTGCAGGCGCCCCCCTGGTCCCGGGGGCTGGGCTGGGTGGGTTGGGACCCTCTCTTTATTCCCCCGGGCCTGAGTGAGTAGGTCGTGGGAGATGTCCTTGAATGAGACATCCAGGGGGGTCCTGTGGCGGGGAGGTGATGGGTGGTGGAAGTTTCTGAGAGGGAAGGAGATGGGGGGCAGCACCCCACTGTCCACGTATACTCACCACCGCCTCCCTCCATGGGCTTTTGGGTGGTATTTCCCTTCTTCCCTTACCTTCTGTCATCCTGCCCTTCCAACCCTTCCTAACTAACAAGCCTTTCCCGATTATCTCCAACAAATCTGGAACGTGATTAAATCTGTGTGTTTCTTCACACCCATTGTTCTGTCTCCTCTGTTCCCTCCAAGGCTCTGTAATCCCTGCTCCCCATGTCGTGCTGGGGGCTCCTTCCTGATGGGGACGGTGCCTCCCCCCTCAGACTAGGGGCTCTCTGTTCCCTGATAACCGTTGGCATTTAGGTAAAAGTTAAGGGTGGAGTGTCGTGTGGGGAGTGTCGCTCTCAGACGGGGATCTGGGGTTGAGTGGAAACAAGGGGCTGTTACAAAGACCCCAAGAAGGTGTCTGAATTGCACATGGGCTTCCCCCTTTCTTCTTTGTTAATTAAAGAGGTCGTTACTAGGTTACACTTCAACATGCTTCAAAATTCCAAAGGCGTAAATAAAGAGTGCTGAGGGACATCTGTCTCCTCCAGCCCCGTCCTCTAAACCCCCAGTTCCCCTCCTTCCCCTCAAACACTATTGCCCCTGCACAACTACACACAGTGTATATGAAATGGGCGGGGGGAGAATGCAGAGGGTTATATAAGCTTAGACTTTCCCTGGTATTTAAAAAAATCAATGGTGTGCAACCACTTCGGAAAACTCTTGGCGATCTCTTTAAAGCTGACCACCGCCTATCCTATGACCACACAATTTCTTTTCTAGGTTTCTTTCCAACAGAGATGCACATGTCTGCTCACCACAAGACTGTTCCAAAATGTTCATGACAGCATCATGCCTAAGAGTCAATCATTGGAAACAACCAACAATCCATGGAAGGCAGAAAGGATAAATGAGTTCCAAGATATCCTTCTAATGGGACAGCAAACAGTGATAAAAATGATAGCACAGCTGGGCGTGTCCCACAAACGTGCTGACAAAGCCAGATTCACAAGGGGCGTATGTAACTGTTTATGCAAAGATTTAGCGCAGCAATGATGAATCTACTGTCTTAGGTGTCAGGTTGTGGTGACATCTGCGGGGAGAGAGGGTGGAAATGGGGGCAGCCAGGAGAGGGGTTTCTGGTGTTGTGTGTGCCCTTCTCGGCTCGGACCCTGAATCTCCTGTGCCTGTCCAGGGTGTACAGTGAACTAGGGTTGAGGACCCAAAAGAAAATGGGATGGGGGACATCATGGCAGAGGGAAGTCATTGTGTCTGAGAAGCGTGGGGAGCCCCACGGGGGCTATGTGGGCTGGACGATCAGCCCCCAACTTCGCCTGAGCAGCACGTTGGCTGCAGCAGGGCTGGGAAGAATGGTGCACTGGTGAATAAAGCGCAGGATTTGAGTCAAAAGCCTTTCTGTTCAGTTCAACAGACACCCAAGTACCTGCTCCGTGCCAGACACAGCCTCGGTTCTCTAGGATCCAAGAGGAGTAAGACCTGGTCTCAGCTCTCATGGGGCTCGCAGTCTGGTGGGAGGAAGATGCGGCATCTGTGTGAACAGCTAACATGCAACATGGTGAGTGCCACCAGGGAGGTGTGTGCCCATGTCACGGGAGCCCTGAGGAGGAAGCATCTCTCGGGGCTGGGGAGCCGACACAGGAGAGCTGAGTGCTGAAGGGAACAGGACCCCCAGGGCCAGCAGAGGTGGTCCAGGCAGGGCCAGCAGGGTCAGAGGCTCAAGGGTGGGAAAAAGCATGTGCTTTGGGGAACTGCATTTTCTCTGGAGCAGAAAGTTTGTGCAGGGAAGTGAAGAGAAGTGAGGCAAGAAACTTGGGCAGGGCAGGGCCCCGAATTGTGAAGATCTTGATTTACAGTTTGGACAGGAGTCAACCTTTCCCTCCCTCCCTCCCTCCCTCATTTCTTTCTTCCTTCCTTCCTTCCTTTCTTTCTTTCTCTCTCTCTCTTTCTTTCCTTCTTTCTTTCCTTCCTTCCTTCTTTCTTTCTTTCTTTCTTCCTTTCTTTCTTTCTTTCCTTCCTTCCTTCCTTTCCTTCCTTCCTTCCTTCCTTCTTTCTTTCTATCTTTCTCTCTCTCTCTCTCTTCCTTTCTTTCTTTCCTTCTCCCTGTCTCTGTCTCTCTCTCTCCCTCTCTCCCTTCCTTCTTTCATTTTTTCACTTTTTCTTTTCCCTTTATAAAACCAATACACCCGGGACTTCCCTGGTGGCTCAGTGGTTAAGAATCCGCCTGCCAGTGCAGGGGACACAGGTTCGAGCCCTGATCCGGGCAGATCCCACATGCCGCGGAGGAACTAAGCCCATGCACCACAACTACTGAGTCTATGCTCTAGAGCTCGTGAACCACAACTGCTGAGCCTGAGTGCCACAACTACTGAAGCACGCCTAGAGCCTGTGCTCTGCAGCAAGAGAAGCCACCCAATGAGAAGCCCGGGAACCGCAACGAAGAGTAGCCCCTGCTTGCCACAACTAGAAAAAAGGGAGACCCAGAGGCAAGAGAGCACTGGTGTGTATATGTGTGTGGCTGGGGCATGGGGGTGAGTTTGAGGATGACAGCTGCAGGGTAGAGTTGCAGAAGGGGAGCAGAGGTGGCTGCAAAGCAGAGTAGGGGTGGTACTTGAAGGCCAAAGGAAGAATACGGGGCTTTGTCTTGAGGACAATGGGGTTTAGGCAAGAGAGTGCTGTGATAAATTTCATAGCAAACGGAATAGACGTGAGGGGGCAGGGAGATGGGAGCCAGGCAGGTGAGACTGTTAACACCAGGGGATGGAGGGGAGGGTGGTCCGGGCAAGGGCAGAGGCCAAGGGGATAGGAAAGGACAGGAATCACAGAGTCTTCTAAAGGTAGACTGGTCTTGGGGGCCAAGGACTGAGTGGGTGAAGGAGAGAGAAGAGCTTAGCATGCCTCCCAGGTTTCTGGCCTGGAAAACAGACTCAATATGGGTGGAGGGCCCTGGGGATATTATGAAGCTACACAAATGTTACTGCTACTTCTTCTTCTTATTCAAATGCATTGTTTGCATGTGGCTCCCAGTCAGTGATGACTGATAGAAGTGGCAGGTGCCCTGCCCCGGGCTCAGCTGGCTCCCAGGCCCTTGCCCTCCCCTTGCCAGCCTGCTCCTTCCTTTTGAAAGACTCTCCCAGCCAGCGTTCTTGGTCTGTGGATTTGCTTCAGGCTTCTTTCTCCTCCCTCCACCCCCTAGCTCCTAAGGAAGCAAAAAATTTTTCCTTCCTGGCCCTCAGCCCAGCTGTCAGCCTCATTGCATGAGTTCCCTCCCTGTCACCTGCTCCTTACTCACTCCTGCAGGGACATGCCCCACCAGACACAGGCTCGGCCTTCAACTCAATTTCCCTTTCTCCCACCAGGGTTTTCTGCTTACCTGTTGGGCCACTTGCCCTGAAGCCCCTTCCTTCCTCTCTGCTTCTCTCATCTTTCTCCTGAAGCTGCAGCTTCTTTGAAAATCTTCCCAACCCTTCTAGAGCCCCTTGATTCTGCGTGCGTGCACGTACCTCTCGTGTGCTGAGCTATAGGTCGGCTCTGATCCTGACAGGTGGCCTCCCTGACCCCAGAATAAGGAATCTGGGCACATAACCAGGTTCGTGCAGGGAGATGTGCTGGACTGGAAGGTCCCCAGGGCAGAGCCTGGCACCCAGGAGGTGCTCAGTAAACATTTGTTGAGAGGAAGAAAGCGGCAGACACAGAGACGTGCCTGCAGACCTCCCTTCAAGAAAGGACTTGCTGCCTGTTGCAAGGATTGTAGTGAGCTGACAAGTTCAGTTCTTAGCCTCTCCCTGGTGCCCAGTGCGGGGCCTAGGGTGAGGAGAGCAAGGCATCTAGGACACAAAATGTAAGGAGGTACTGGCTCTCAGGACCATGCAAACACCTTTTACTTTTTGCCTGAGACATCTCACTCACCTGTCTCTAGTCTTGGCCTTTGAGGGCCGGCCGGGTCTGAGCATAGCAGTGGTTCTAGGGCCTGGTCATTTCTGCCCAGCTCAGGCCGTGCTCCTCCCCTGGGCAATCTTTGCTCAAGAGAAACTTTGCTCTGGTAGAGAACTGTCAGATCTGCCCAATCCTGTTTCCTTTCACTGAAGTGACTCCCCAGGGACCCTTTCCCATGTGTAGCTTCATCTCAGCAGCTGCTTCCTGGTGATTACAAAGTAAAGCACACATGCCCCTGGGAGTACCTCATGCCCAGTCCTGGACGTAATGCCTGGCATACAGAGATGCTCAATAAATCACTAAGGACTGACCGAATGGCCAAGAGATCCCCAAGGGTCTGAACACCCGGAGGAATCAGTGACTAGATATGCTGACCTTGCTAGATGTCTCCAAACTGAGGTTCCCAAGGCACACTTGTAGGCAGTAATGGAGGCGACAGAGCTGTTTCCACGGTTTAAATGGTCTCATGGAATTTATGCTGTTAGATGAGATAAGGTCACTCGAGTTCATGAAAAGGCCCGATCTTTTGCTTTTGGTGGGAATGATATCAGAGTGGTGTGGCAACCCAGTCTTATCTTGGATAAGCAATAATTTCCATCGGTACATGTTTTTCACTGGGCATAACTGGGGCAGAGGAGAGCAGTGGGAAGCTCAATGGCTTTGGACTGTTGTACCAGGTATCCTCAGGCAAATAGCTGAGCCTCAGTTCCCCCATCTGTATAGTGGGATCTAGGAATGTCTTGTTATAGGGGCTGTGAGGTTTAGATGAGACCACGATGTAAAGAGCTCACTACAGTGTTTAGCCCTGAGTAGAGTGGCAGCTACTAGTATCAACAACTAACGCCCATAGTTTGCCCATCATAACCTTTTAAAAGATGGAATTGATGGGCACGAGTGCCATAAGGGATGACTGGAGGTGACTGGCCTAACTGCTTTGCATGGACCAGGTCGGGACAGAGACCATTCATTTTGAGAATAAGAGAGGACCCCAACTCCGAGGCCACAGCAAACACTGGCACGAGCTGGGCCAAGCTCCCTGGGAACCAAGGCTAAGCTCCCTGGGAGCCAGGGACAAGCTGCAAGAGTGAAGTACAACAAGAATCCTCAAGTTTCCAGCCCCAGGCAGAGCTTGGTGGGGAGTGTGGGAAGTGGAACGGCCTCTGTAGTTACAGGATTAGGGTTTGGTCAACGTCCCAGGGATGTTCATGTAAATCAGCCTGAAGGATCAATATATGCAAATGATTCGGTACCTGGGATCCACCACAAAGATCCGGAGACCTGCCTTTCTGTGGGTGACCTGGGGCTTTTCAGAAAGGAGACTGTTCCCTTCTCCTCCTAGGAGGCAGGAGTTTGCACGTAAAGAAAGCCTTTACGTGGTCTGGTGCTCTGTGGAATACACACGTGTACATATGGAATAAAGACTGGAAGGAAATACATCAAAGTGTGAACCATCTTTTTTTCACTTAGGGAGTGGGATAATGGGTACTTTTAATTTTCTTCTTTATACTTTTTTTGTTTTCTCTGAGTTTGTTGTCCATGGCTTGACGATGTAGGTGGATGGAGGGTGGAGTGAAGGAAGTCATCATATATTTAAAAAAATGTATTATCCATTTAACTTGAAGGTGAGGTTCTAGACTCAGCATTTTCACATAATGAATGAGAATCCACTGGAGCATATGGTGTCTAGCCAACAGGTGAAAGAAATCCAGCAAGGCTCTTTAAACCCCATTCAGGATGGGAATAAGGGTGGCCCAGGAAGCCTGAATGATCGTCTCAGATTCTCACTTATTCTTCCCTTCTACACAAGGAAGGCAAATGGAGATAGAGGACTGGTTTGCTCCCAGGGCAGTGCTCGGATGAGCTGGAAGCTCAGAGAGGGTATACAATTTAATACCAGGCTCAGCTTCTCATCCTGAAGAAGAAGAGTCTGGACACGGAGCCCTTTGATAATCTAGTAAAGTTTGTGTTTGGCACTCTCACTCTCTTTCCTGAGCTATCTCTTCGCTTCTTGTCCCTCATCATCTGGGTTTTTTAATAGTCCTCCTCCACTCAAGCCTTACATATTCCCAAATTGTCCCTTTTCATACCCGACCTCCCTCTCCACTTTACATTTCCCTCACAGCCCTGTTCTTTGCTGTCTCTTTGCAAAGCAGGCTGACCGCTAATTTATACTATAGTGTAAAAGACTCCCACTCTGTATTACCATTCATAAAACAGGATACTAAGAAAACCAGTTTTACAATGGAATTCACTCTCTGGAGAAGTCAGTGTAGAGGGTCCAAAACCTAGTGCTAGAATCAGAAGCCCGTTTCCTCACTTGTGGAAGCATAACAGGGACCTTGAAACTGTCTCATCTTTTTAAAAATCAGGTCACAAGATACTTTCTCTCTCCATTGTCTCATTTGATTTTCACACTAATCCTGTGGTTATCTGGGCAGGAAGGCCTATTATTCTGATTTGCCTTTCAAAGCTTAGTTCAGATAAGCCTTTCTCCAGGAAACCCTTTCCCCACCCCCCCACCCCCAGGCTAACCATTCCATCCTGGGGGCTGGGCAGCCCTCTGAATCTGGCAATGGTTCCTGCAGCTCCACTCGACCCCCCACCTGCATCAAGGGGAGTGACCCCTCATTGTCCCTTTTGTTCCCTAGGGCCTGGCACACAGTAGGGCTTCAGTGGCTGTTCTATAAACATTGAATGACACCGACTCATCATTCACGGGGGAGACTGCCCTCTGGATTCTGTCTTCCACAGTGTTCATTAGCCTCCTCCTCCATGATCCTTTCTAGAAACTCAGTAGGTGGGTGGTGGGTGGGCTCTAATGACAGTACCAAGCAGGAAAGATTTAAGGGCAGAGTCCTGGACCCCCTCTATAGAGGCTGTCACATTCAGGGCACCAGTCCTACAAATACAGCTGGTTCAAACACCAAAGAACTTTGAAATTACCTGCCCTGCCCTGGGTCAAATATCATCTTACAAGTGCCCAACCCAGGGCTGGCAGTAGGTGCTTCCCTGATGTCAAATGCTAATTCCTGCCCCCTCCCCTTCCCAGAAGGTGAAGGTGGGCAAAGGGGACAGTCCAAATGGGTTTCCAGTATACACTTCTGTGAAGCAGAGGGGCCCCACCACCGCCCACTCCCCCTGCACCTGCAGCCATTGTTTCCTGCTCTCAGGGTTCTGGGTGCCCTTCTCCTAGGAAGGAGTTTGGGAGGTTGGGAGGGGTGCTGCGGAAGCTGGGTCACTGGCAGTACGGTGATATAAAGCTAGGGTTTGGAGCAGGGCAGTCCCAGCTCCACCACTTACCAGCTATGCCACCTGGACAAGCCACTGTGCCTCTTAGCACCCCAATGTCCTCATCCTGTAAAATGGGGGTGATAACATAGTAACACTACGACCTCACTGAACTGTTAAGAGACTTAGGTGAGGAAATATATGTGTAGTGATGGGCAGAGTAAATTAGAAAAGCAATTTTTTTCTTCTTCCAGTTTTATTGAGTTATAACTGACATACAGCGTTGTGTAAGTTTAAGGTGTGCAGCATACTGACTCGACTTACATACTTATCACAGTAAGTTTAGTGAAAATCCATCATGTCACATAGATACAAAATAAAAGAAATAGAAAAAAATTTTTTTCCTTGTGATGAGAACTCTTAGGATTTACTCTCTTAACTTCCATATGTAACAGACAGCAGTGTTCAGTATATTCCTCATGGTGTACATCACATCCCTAGTACTTATTTATCTTATAACTGGAAGTTTGTACCTTTTGACTCATCCAATTCCCCCTCCCCCAACCTCCCACCTCTGGTAACCACAAATTTGATCTCTTATTCTATGAGGTTTTTTTTTTTTTTTTTTTTTCCACACCGTGAGGCTTGTGGGATCTTTGTTCTCCGACCAGGGATCAAACCTGTGGCCCCGGACTTCCCTGGTGGCTCAGTGGTTAAGAATCCGCCTGCCAATGCAGGGGACACGGGTTCGTGCCCTGGTCCGGGAAGATCCCACATGCCGCGGAGCAACTAAACCCATGCATCACAACCACTGAGCCCGCGTGCCACATCTACTGAAGCCCGCGTGCCTAGAGCCCGTGCTCTGCAACAAGAGAAGCCACTGCAATGAGAAGCCCGCGCACCGCAAAGAAGAGTAGCCCTCGCTCGCCGCAACTAGAGAAAAGCCTGCGCGCAGTAACGAAGACGCAACACAGCCAAAAATAAATAAATAAATAAATTTATTAAAAAAAAAGAAACAACCTGTGCCCCTTGCAGTGGAAGCACAGGGTCCTAACCACTGGACTGCCAGGGAAGTCCCTCTATGAGTTTGTTTTTGAAGGCTAATTAAACCTACAACACTATGTTAATTCCTGTTACACAACACGGTGATTCGGTATTAGAATAGTAATTTTTATGATCATCTCCAAACACTGTTACCGTTGGAGGGCAGACGAAAACTGGGCAGGACTCCTCCAGAGTAGTCTATGCCAGAACCCCCAGGCTGCAGTGACTCCAGGAGCTGCCTTGGCAGGTGAAGGGTAACCAGGCAGCCCTGCCCTCGCTGCCGGCTAGGGCTGGAATGTCCTGGGGGCTTGCAGAAAATTTGGAATGGGGACCGGGTGCCTTGGTATGTGCAAAGCACAGCTTTCACTGGGCCTCAGAAGCTGCAAGCTTTGGCCAGGCTTTCTAGGTGATGAAATGTGCCTACACTGGGTGGAGCCGGTCAGCCACTGCCGCGGCCACACCGCCCTAACTGGGGGAGTGAGAACAGAACAGCATGTCTCTCTCTGGGTGTCAGCCTGGTCCAGAGCCCAGGGTCCAGGGACAGGGCTGAAGAGTCAGGCAGAGGGACGGAGACAGTGGACCCTGGTGCAGGGCCTTTCCCCTTTCAGGACCTCAGTTTCAGGAAATTTCTAAGGCC